TTTTTTTTTTTTTTTTTTTTTTTTTTTTTTTTTTTTTTTTTTTTTTTTTTTGTTCTTTTTTAATAGATGATCGATTATATGACATCGCATAGCAATACGCAGGTGGAAAGTGATAGTGAGTAGCATAGGGCGAAACAACTGGCATCGTGGATCGACGCATCAGCATGTTACGCAGAGAAGAGGCAGAAATCGATGTAGACTTGAGAGGCCCAACTCTAAGACAGAAGTTTATCTTCAGGAATGGTCGGGCTAGTTGCTGTTGGTGCAGAACGTAACGAATCGGTGTCTCGAAGCATCTCGTTGAAACTCTGCATCGAGTTGGATCTTGAAGGCACAACTTTCGTCTAGAACATAAAGAAAAATTCATTAGATTTTATATAATTATCTAATATTTTATTACGTGTTTAATAGAATTTAAAGAAGAAAATTTTAAAGAAATCTCAATATCTCAAAGAAAAAATAAATTTTTTATCAGAATAACACGTCAAAATTTGAAGAGTATAAAACTTTCGGTTCATAAAATTTTGTAAAAATATATTTTGTTTTTTGAAAAAGTGATACAAAAGTTTTTTAAAATTTAAGCAATTGAAGTTAGGATATTGAAGTGAACAATTGGAAATGAAGAAACTTGTTGCGTTATCGATCGACGATGTTGAACTTGATTTTATAAAGTTTATAATTAATTCCAAATTTAATTTTTGTAAGAAGAGGAAAATCAAATGATTGTTAGATCAATATTATTTTTAAATGAATATGCTATAATTTAAAATATTTAATGACGAATATTTTTCTTTAAGGTTAGTAATGTCTGCAATCTTAAATTTTATAAATATAATTATTTTTTTAAAGCAACTTTAATTTTAAAATTTGCATTAATAAATATTTGTTTTATTGAATATAAAATTTTTTATTATATAATATTATAATATATTATAATATATAAGGTATGTGTATAAATTATATGTAAAATAAATAATTTTTAAAGAGATGTTTCTTTCATAAAAATATTTAAAGATATATTTAGAGAAGATAAAATTTGATAAGAATTCTGATTTTAATTTTACATTGAAAATTATATAGTATATTCTTAATTCCTTCATATACATTAAAAAATATTATAATATTTTTAATATAACAGTTTTTTAATATAAACTCAAAGTTTTTTTGAATTCAATTTTTTTTTTAAAAAGAAACAAGATCCAATATCCAAGGCAATAAATATAATCTGATTTTAATATAATATATGAGTAACTTTATTCTGCTAATTTAAATTTTCTAGCAAAATAAGTTACTCAGATTTTAAATTAGTTGTATAGGACAATGTGGTTGGAAGTTATAAGACTTAATCTCATAGAAACGATAAATTTACTGGAAAATAAATTGTGTGATGTATATATGTGTATGTGATGTATTTATGTGTAATATAAAACAAAAGTTTTAATTACAAGATACTCAGATTTATTATCCAAAAAATATTCTTAGATAAAATCATATTTTAAAAAAATATAAAATAATGAAAATTTCAAAATAAAATTGCTGTAAATTTCCAGCATATAAAAAGATTTCTTCTTGATGAACTGCTCCACGTGTGACTTATATTTTACATACTCTATAAACTTTCATTAAAAGAATAAATTAAAAGAATATTCAGAACATTCAAGTTAAATCAATTTTTCTATAAAATAATATTCAAATTCTTTCTCGAACCACTGTATATGGAATTGTACAATTTTTAATTTAAATTAAAATCAGGATTCTAAGTAAGTAATTAAAATTTCTTATAAGATAATACTGATTTTTATAAATTATTGAAGATCAAAAAAAAAAAAAAAAAGAAAAAATCATAATCAAATTTATCTGATTCATCTATCTAATCACCTTCATGTTCTCGTAGGCAGATCCAACTCGTTCCTCCAATGAACGAAAACTGTCTGAATTACGCATCTGGCCAAGCTTCATGGATAATCCACTGCCGAAGCCGCCAAGAATGCTGGTCGTCTTCTCAGCTGTTGTCTTGAACACAGACTCCGTCTTCTGGAATCTGTGGGTGGACGAAGAAACGATAAATATTCATTTAACATGGAACTTGTCCTGTTTCAGACAAGGTCACGTTGTCCGTGGTCACTGATGCCTTAGGCAACTCGATAATGAATCAAGCCGATGGACAAACATGCATTTTTACTCACACACAGCCTCATAACGGATTAATCACACAAGCGTTCCGTGCTCGTCGCTAGAT